GATGCATCCCAAAATCAAGACCAATATTACTACAATAATACGAGTAGGGCTAGTAGTAGTAGCAACAACCAATGGCAACAACCAATACGTACAGGCAGTTATCAAACTCCTCCATTTACTCAACAACAATATCCACAACCAGCATACAATAGTTACATTCAACCACACAACACATACCAGGAGCTGAATCAGTTACCTCAGCATACAAGGACACAGTACATGAACCAACAACAAGATGAACAGAAACAGTATTCATCTCATAGGGACAATAAAAGATCAAGATATAACACTGAATACCAACATTCGTCAAGGACTGGTCCTGTGGAGAAGAGTTATAAGGATATAGAGTACTGATAGATTACGTAGCATAAATATATTTATATAGATTGAATATATGATTAAGGAATTAGAGTTAATGAAAAATTTAAAGGAACAACGAGTGTCGCTAAACTGGTTTTAATGACAGTTAGTTGTTGTAAGATATATACTAATCTTATGTTTGATAAATAAAAAAATTGAAAAAATAAATGGTCCCTAGCGGGATCGAACCGCTGATCTTGGCGTTATTAGCACCACGCCTTAACCAACTGGGCCAAGGGACCTATTTAATTGTTGAAATTTTTGATAAGGAGTTTGAGTATGATTGTGATGATTATTGGACCTTTTGACGTATAAGATGACAAGCCCGGTAGACTTGTATAATAACTGGTTTAGGGATCTTGATAGATATATAATATAGACTCGATAGTCTTGAAATAGTAAAAGTAAAATAGTATTTAAAGTATGTATGAGTAATTCGAACTGGTCCATTCAAGCTAGAAACCATCTAATGAATATATGTAGTCTAAATTATAATTGGAGATATAGATCAGGTGTTCATAAAAGTCAGGATTGGAAAATGGAGGTTTCATAATCCTTTTATATGTGTTTGGTGAAGTGCGGCTGAATGACATTGTTGGATGTCATTCCTTTCAGGAGCGTCATTACTTTGATAAGTGTGACTGTGGTCGTGTACATGGCTATGTTCAGCATCAGTGCGTTGCATAGTCTTCATATATTACCTCTTATTTGTGTTTATAAGTACTAATGTGTTGGTAGCGAGATATCTCACTTGGGTCGAGGTAGGGTAAACTGTGGCTGTTGGAAGGACCAACATGATCTGGGAGTTCCGGGTTACAAGATAGTTTACAGCAGAATATCTTTTAAGGGAATAGCAAACTATTGAATACGATGTTAGAATGGTAAGAGCTTTAAGCTTTAATGAGAGTAGATATACGTTAAATAGGTATCTTGACCTATTACTGAGGTCAGTGAGTGATAACTCCCTCCCCCTTATGTAAGAGAGAAATATATATAACATAAATAGTTCTATATATCGAAACTGAAAATTTGTTCCTTTTATATATTAGAGAAATCGATACATTCACCCTGTACGAAGAACAGCAATAGTGACGTAAACTTTATCCTCGAGTATCCAGGTTAAAGTCACAACACTTTGCACTTCACTACCACTGATTCAACTGTTTGTTACCAATTGACTGGTCATAGTTTCTAATTATAATTACTAATTATAATCATCGAATTACCTGTCGATGTGCCTAATTACTAAGTGATAATATCATAATTCCTCTTTACGCTTCCTGGTTCCAATTATTATTAATGAAGTTATTTTATTCCTTTACAGAAAATAATTGATTTCTAATCAAAAACTTCATAAACTGCATTTTCGGAATCTCACTAGATCAAACGGAGCTGATAATGACATTTCTTTTTATTTTTTGACGTCCTCTCTTTTTTCACAGAAGATTAATTAATAATCATCATCTATGGAATATCTTACAATAAAACAGCTTAAGAACCTCAAAACAAATAATTATTACGGAAATTTTAGCACAAGATAAAACTGAGAGGAAGGAAGTAAACAGAATTTAGAATGTATCTAATAATGTTGGAACGGAATAATTCATATTATTCCTTCTCGAAATTTTCAAATGAAGAGAGAGATGCCTTAAAGAACAAGATAGGTTAAAAAATTAACTTATATAAAAGCGACAAGAGGTCTTATATTTTTATAGTACTAATGATTGACTAACTAATACCATTATAATTGTCTATATATTGGTATTATATTCTTTAATTTGGTTTGTCTAGTTGGATTGTTGCCGGTGAAAACTAGAAAAAGAATAAGATCTAAAAAAATGGCATATCCAGAAATGTTCGAAGGTATTGGTGTAACTAACCCAGAAGATTGGAAACATCCAAAAAGGGTTACTTACGAACCAAAAAAATTTGATGATCAGGATGTTGATGTTAAGATTGAAGCATGTGGTGTCTGTGGTTCTGATATTCATTGTGCCGCTTCTCATTGGGGTCCAGTAGTTAAGAACCAAGTTGTTGGTCATGAAATTGTTGGTCGTGTTGTTAAAGTTGGTCCAAAATGTACCACTGGTATCAAAATTGGTGATCGTGTAGGTGTAGGTGCCCAAGTTGCCTCTTGTTTGGATTGTTCTCGTTGTCAAAATGATAATGAACCTTATTGTCCTAGAGTTGTTACCACTTATGGTCAAGCTTATCCAGATGGTTATGTTTCTCAAGGTGGTTATGCCTCTCACGTCAGAGTCCATGAGCATTTCGCTATCCCTGTTCCGGAAGAATTGCCATTGCATCTAGCTGCTCCATTATTATGTGGTGGTATCACTGTTTACTCTCCATTGTTGAGAGGTGGATGTGGCCCAGGTAAAAAAGTCGGTATTGTTGGTATTGGTGGTATTGGTCATATGGGTATTCTATTTGCTAAAGCTATGGGTGCTGAAGTCTACGCATTCTCTCGTTCCCATTCTAAAGAAAAGGATGCGAAGGAATTAGGTGCTGATCACTACATTGCCACTTTGGAGGATAAAGACTGGACTGAAAAGTATTTTGATACTTTAGATTTGATTGTTGTCTGTGCTTCCTCCTTGACTGATGTTAATTTTGATGAATTGATCAAAGTCATGAAGGTTAACACTAAAATTTTGTCAATTTCTGTTCCATCCATCGATGAAACTCTAACCTTGAAGCCGTTCGGTTTATTGGGTGTCACCATTGGTAACAGTGCCTTGGGTTCAAGAAAAGAAATTGAACAGTTACTAAAATTGGTTGTTGACAAAGATATTAAAATTTGGGTAGAACAATTACAAGTTGGTGAAGCTGGTGTAGCTGAAGCCTTCGAAAGAATGGATAAGGGTCAAGTTAGATATAGATTTACTTTGATGGGTTTCGACAAAGAATTTGGTAACTAATTTTGTATTGGTTAAGAAAGTGCGCTTCCTTGACATTGTTCATATTTAGTTAAGTATGCTTTGTAATGAAATTATAAATTTCCTGGTGAATTCACGTGTATATAGCAAGACTAGTTTAAATTCTAGAAAATACTAATTAAGATATATATTCAAGATGTCGTATTGGCAAGAACAATATTGCAGTTTCAATGATGAAAATTTATTAACTCCTTATAAATGGTTCTGTTGATTTACATTTATTAATCATCCCAAATATAACACATCATATGATCCAGAATAATATATCATATTTAGATGGAGTATTTGGGGACATTTGCGGTGATTGCTGTCTTCTATTCTTTTTTCATCAATCCCAATATATGAGATAAATAAAAGCAATGAAATTAATTCACTCCTAATAAAATAAGTTACTGTTTATATTTTTATAGGTGGATTAATTACGGAAGAAATCTTATGCAGTTCGATTGAATTTCTTTTTATTCTTTATTAGTTTATGAACTGTAAATTGGGCTGAATAGAATAAATAACGTATATGGTATATGGTAAGTTTACCCCAGTTTACAGTGTTTTCAAAAAGTAAGAAGATATAAAAATAACTATACTTTACAAATGAGGTTTAATGAGAAACAAATACCATTTTAATACTTTGCATATTCTTTAATGTATATGAAAGAAATACTGGATAATAATGTTAGAATTATTTTAACAATTATATAAAATCAGTGAACCTCAGAAAGTAATTTTATTAGTAATATGAATAAATTAATGACTTATAACGTAATGGTGGCCTGTTGAGAGAGCAATCACAATTATCATAGAATTGTTGAATGTCTTAACCATAAAATATATATCTTCTATATAGTTTAAACTATCTTTGAAAATTGAGACAAATTAACAACAATGACAAACATATAAAGAATCAGAATAATAGTGGTAACATTGTATAAAATATCTAAAGATAATCAAGTATTCAATCAAAGGCGACAGCATATTTAATGTCAGTTGTCTTTGTTTTTTACATATTTGTTCAATTTTGCCATTTTCTAATGCTTCTTTAAAGGAAAATTAAACAAGATGTATTGATTACGCTTAAGAACAAAATGATAAAATAAGGACAGAGGACTTTGTCATGTTTCATGATAAGAATGTCACTAATAGAACGCGAATACAACGTATATAAGGGACATAGTTCCTGAAATAAAAGATATAATTATTGTTATTAAACAGAAGACCATAGAGATCTTTATATATTTAATACTACTGTATAGTTATTATAATAGTTAACTAACCTCATAGAGTTTACAACTAGTAACCTTAAGTATTGACTTCTACGGCTTGTTTCCCTAGATAAATACTTAATACATTAATATTTAATATTCCGGACCAAACATTACATTATAACTAATCTTTGTTTTGAATTTACTTAAAATAAATAGCATTCATCGAGTCATAAAAATATTCTAGAACCTTGTATATGTATTATTTATCTTTTATGTCATATCGTTAAGCTCAGATATAATGTTACTAGGGCAATAAATATCATCTATCACGTCATATGAATCTTCTGCAAACCTATAGATGCATTACCTATCTCATAGGTTACCACAGAAAGTAACCCTATAAATCAGTACTATGCTCTTTATATCCTCCTGAACCGTAGTCTTAAGTTGGCTACAACAACTTTGCAGATGAAGACCTAAATGTTTCATCTTTCAGCCCTGCTAACTCTGATCGTAAGCAACGTCCTACGCACCCTAACAAACTATTAGAAAGTCCTTATTAAGTAATACAGGAATCTTGTTGGATAGCAACCCCAACTAACAGCGCCGTTCCAACTAACGGATACAATACAACTTGGGTAATATGAAACATAAAAAAAGCACATCAATAAATACTGAAAGTGGTAGCAAACTCATGAAAACAGAAACATATAAAAAGTCAAACTAAGTTAAGGTTTCAATATGGTAAAATGTATTCGAATGTAGAGTTCATATTAGGCATGGGTCGGCTACGAAGTAAAAATATTGGCCTCATAGTAAGTCGCCAAATGAAGAAATTGGCTTGCCATCTGGTGGCCATGTTAGCTACGGGATTTGTCTGTAACTGGCTTGGATGAACCTCAAAAAAAGTCAAAAAAGGTCATGTGATAACAAAAAAACGAGCGGGCACCGAGTTGCCCATCCATGCCTAGTTCATATATATATAGATATAAAGAGGTAAGCTTATGAGTACTCAATTAAGCGAGGGTCACATCAGGACTTATATACCTATTAACTATATAATATCTGCTGGCGCGATCTTAGTCTGCATTAGTGTATAATAGAGACTTCGACAAAGAAATAATGAGAATACTACAATTCACCCTGTTGTTCTTATTCCAGTTTTTCAGCTCCGTTATAGCTGTAGTTAACGCTAATAGCCTTAGTCTCACAGAATTCGCTAATATGCTAGTCAGTGACTTGCCACGTGACAGTCAGGCGGTTGTTTTAGAAGGTTACTCGCTAGATCAACAAATAACAGTAAGGGAGTTTATCACCTTACTTCACACTGACGCACCTTTTGCTACTCCTGGAGGAACATTTTTTATTAACGTTAATGGTACGATTATCGCTCATAAAGCGGAGCAAGAAGGGTATGCCGATGAAGTGGGCTTAGAACTTTACGACCTAGCAGCAGCCAGGGTAGCTGCCGTTAGTGCTGAACGTGAACCTGTAGACGAAGTTTCAGAGGAGATTGACAGATACCTAACCCAAGTCTACAATTATTTGTATAACCCTTTGGACAAGAGGTAGGGTAACCCTCTAGGGTATATCTGCTCTTACAATTATGGTAAGTGCAGGAGCTATGTCACGTGTAACAGACAGCTGGAACCACATAGTAATTCAAAGTGCTCATGCCTGGATTTTTATAACTCAAAGGCATGTCTAACTTCACATATCAAATGATGAAGACAAGTTGAGTCAGTAGCTAAGTGAGAGACAGTAGCGATTATCCCAAGTCTCTAAATTGGCTACTGAGATGCAGAGATATTGGTAAAAGAAAAAAATAGAAAAAGAAAAACCGTAACAATGAAATAACCCAAACGAACTAACTAGATCAAACAAGAACGGACACTAAACTAAACAAACTCACCTTGAGTCTAACTGGTGGCACTCTTGAGTATACACACTCACCCTGAGGATAACTGGTAACGCTCACAAGTAAGTTGATAAGATGAAAAAAAAGGTAGACCTGCCAATAATGGACCTTTACAATAACTTTCTTCCCCAATAAAGCCTTAGGAAAGAATATGTATTAATTTTATCACGAGATTACAACCAATGTATTGTTTCGACATAGTTTAATGCAAATTAGTTGTACGATCTATGACGCCAGATAATACGTGTTATTATCGCTGACATTTATAAAGACTAATGGTGACTACTATTTGAAACTACTGTATATTGTTGTATATTACTTACTTACTTTGTACATTAGAAGAAGAGGATATAGAACTCTTTAATAATAAATATACTTATTAAAAGTACTAGTCTACCTCCAAACAGACGAATAGAATAAAAGTAATGGCGGTATATATTCAACGTACAATTACTAGATATCTATAACTAAAGAATTCGCAATAAAGAATATAATATAATAAACTCAAATGATCAATATCAGCAGTTACCGTCCCTATCTTATGTATATCTACCCATTATAAAGCTTGAAAGCTCTATAATCTGACACTTGTCTATTTACATAGCTTGCCTTATGTATCATTTCTCTTATTGTATCCAGATGTATTTAATATCTGATTTATTCCTATTGGTGATTTTAGTTAAGATGGATTTGAAGTTATAGTTATATTCATTTCTGTAACTTCAGGTCTTATTTATAAACTAAATAAATATGTATTTGGATTTTGGACAGATGATATTTAGGTAATCTAAAAGATCATGCCTTTTATATGTTTACATCCAATCTCATAATGTTAGCATTATCAACCAATTATATTAATTTATTATGCGCTTGTACTTCATTTCTTATGATTCAATATAACAATTTATGAAGTTAACAAGATATATTTATGGATACACTTGACATATAAATGTACAATTCATGTTTCTTTAGTGGATTGATTCTATCTACATTGAATGCATCCATTTTTTATATTTTGTTTTGACCAGAGGGTTTAATTTTTTTGTTATTGGAAATGTTGGACCTAAATAAAAATTATTAAACCATAAAGATGTAACAATAATTATATTTTAATAATACATATTGATTAATTTTAAAAGTTTATATACTAACTGAGGGCGGAGGGAGGTTATGGTAACCAGTAATTACCCATTTCCAATCATTCTCATATCATAACCAATGTATTCTTTCAGAACAAAATATTCAACAATCAATCAGAACAAGACTCGGAACATCAGACGTTTAATATTATGCTGATTAATTACTATGGACCAATATTACCAAGCTAATAGAGGTGTCACTAATTATCTTGACCTTCCAATCCTCCATTAATTCACCACAATTGGCCTTTACTTTCTACAAGTTCCAGATAGTTATTTTTAAACTAGACACCACTGAAATCTACGAGAGATAGCTTCACAAAATACATCCATCTTTTCAATTGCATTTAGCTCTGACTTATTAATATAACAAGATATTTCTCACATACTAGATTTCCAATTTCATTGCAGTTGAAGAGCCCGAGAGAATCAACCGCACAAATTCCAAGAAGAACATTAGAACCCAAATGCCAACAGCATTCAAAAATGATACAAACAACTCCGCTCCCACTCCAAAGCATACATCTCATGAGCTGCTGTTTTGTCTTTTCATACCATCGCATCCAAACCTCAGATTCGATACTAAAGACCCATCAAACTCCATCTCCATCGAAGGCATCAATGCAAATTAAATCACTCAAAAAACTTGAAGTGAAACGACAAAGAGCTCTCTCTACCAAACAATTCCATCAAATCAAGAATTGGGCCAGCCTCTAGTTAGTTAGTAGTCGTTAGTTACTAAACTCAATCAATCAATCAATCAATCAATCACACAACGAGAGAGAGAGAGAGAGAGAGAGAGGTCTCTTGAAGGTCATCTGCATCAGATCAATCAATTCCCACGAATTAAATGATTTTTTTCAGCTTATAGTTAGTTAGCTCGTTTAATGAAACCATTTCTGGAGAAATTTCAGCTAATGGTTGCTTGTAAAAGAGCACATTCGAATGCCTTATTTCACCTTATAAGAGAACGGTTAAAAAAATAAATAAATTATCAATTGTGAACGATTCGAAATAGTTTTAGAATTAATTCTTGATTCAATTGCTTTATTGTTTTTAATTGAAACTGTCAAGATCAAGAAATTTTCGTCTTTCTTAATTTTTTTTTCCAGCTGTGGTCATCTGCTCATCTCAATTGGATATTGGCTCTAGTTTAATAGTAGAAGGTTTTCATTGATTCTATTTCTATACTATAGTGTTAAAATTTCAGTAATAAACTGGTATTAGTAAGCTTAGATATATAAGCTATATTTTAGAAGAGGATAAGGGTATTGATATCTATCTATCTATCTGTGTATATACATATATTAATCTATTTAAGGTTGGTTGATTAAAGATGCATGTTGCTCAATTTTTGAATTTGAACGATGGAACTCCAGCTGTCGAAGTTGGTTCTGTTCTGTCCGGTGGTTACAACCATCCATTGCTAAGAGCTTGGCAAAATGAGAGACAATTGACTAAAAATATGTTGATTTTCCCAATTTTCATTTCTGATAATGACGACGATGAAACTGCTATTGAATCCTTGCCTAATATCAAGAGATTCGGTGTTAATAAGATCACTGCTTATTTGGAGCCATTGATCGCTAAAGGATTGAAGAGTGTAATCATCTTTGGTGTCCCATTGAAGGAAGGTGTCAAGGATGCTATCGGTACTGCTGCTGATGATCCTAACGGTCCTGTCATCAAGGCTATCAAACTGTTGAGAAAGACATTCCCTGATTTATACATTATCTGTGATGTTTGCTTATGTGAGTACACATCCCATGGTCATTGTGGTGTGTTGGACGACGATGGTGCTATCAACATCGAAGAATCTGTTGCTAGATTAGCCATGGTCGCATTGAACTACGCTAAAGCTGGTGCTCACTGTGTTGCTCCATCCGACATGATTGATGGTCGTATCAGAATGATCAAGAAAGGTTTGTTGGCTAATGGTTTGGCCAACAAGACCTTTGTTTTGTCTTATAGTGCTAAGTTCAGTGGTAATCTATATGGTCCATTTAGAGATGCCGCATGTTCTTCTCCATCCAGTGGTGATCGTAAATGCTACCAATTGCCTACAGGCGGTAGAGGTTTGGCCAGAAGAGCGTTGAAGAGAGATCTTGATGAAGGTGCTGATGGTATTATTGTCAAGCCATCTACATTCTATTTGGATATCATGAGAGACGCTAGTGAAATATGCCAAGACTTCCCAATTTGCGCTTATCACGTTTCTGGTGAGTTTGCGATGTTGCATGCAGCAGCAGAAAAGGGTGTGGTTGATTTGAAGACCATTGCATTTGAATCTCATCAAGGGTTCCTAAGAGCTGGTGCCAGATTAATCATCACATACCTTGCACCAGAATTTTTGGACTGGTTGGAACAATAAATGGATGGGAACGAGCCGATAACGAGGAACGAATGATGAAGAGTCTTTGACGAAGAACAAGGTCATTGATTGGGGGGGGGGGAGAGAAGAGAGGAATGGGAGCGAGTGACAGAGTGAAGCCAATTTCACCACTGCTATAACACGGGCTGCCCATGTACATTCACGTATGTACAATTCTATGTAAGTAAATATAATCAATCAATCAATCAATCAATCAATCAATCAATCAATCAAGTATAATTTTTTGACCAAGATAAACAGAGTGACGTTGGGAATAGAGATATAGAAGCACACATGGCCATCGCATTCCACGCCAATCGAATTCTAGTATTGGCATTGGTTCTTGTTGTGTTGTGTTGTATTTACCCTGACTGCACACGCAGGCATATGTTCACTTCACGCCTAATGATAGCGCCGTGATACTATAAATAAACCCAACACATAATAAGCCGCACCGTACTACGTACACAACGACAACATCTCATAGTAAAGAAAAGTCGACGTTTTCGAAAATTTCGAAAAAAGAACAAAAAACAGCGAAACCATAAATTCGAAAAGATTTAAGCATAAATCACATAAGAATCAAGGAAGTTTTCGAAATTATATCTGTTTATTTAGTCTTTTTAATTGTGGATTGTTGTTCTAATACAATTATATTTAAATTTATTAATTCATAACTTTTGGTTTAGGATACACTGTTGAAATTGGTTTAAATTTAATATTTATTTTCTTTTTGTTTTTTATTTTGATTTAAAATTGAAGGAAAAAAAGAATAATAATAGTTTGAGGTAGGGACAACACAACAAAACAACTACACACAGACCGGATCTTTTTTTTTTTGGTATTGCTATATTTCAGTTTATCATTCCAATTTTACATTGATTATAACGTTGCTTATAGATCATTATTCGATAAATACTATAGAACTTTTGGAAAAAGGGAAACACGTATAACTACGGGTTAAAAAAAAAATTATAGTTGCAGTCATTTAGTAATAACTGACCACACCCACGTCCACAATAATAATAATTATAATAATATAAATAAATAATAATGTCCTCCGTTGATGAAAAGACTTTGTTAGAGTCCTATCCGCAAACATGTGCTCCAGGTTCTATATCTGGTACTCCAGGTAACTTAAACGATGCCCAATCTAAAGCCTTGGCTGAAATGAGAAAGATCTTAACTTCAAAGGGTTATACTCTAAGATTAGACGATTCCACTCTATTAAGATTTTTAAGAGCAAGAAAGTTTGATGTAAATTTAGCTCTTGAAATGTTCGAACAATGTGAAAAATGGAGAAAAGAATTCGGTACTGATACTATCTTAACTGATTTCCATTACGACGAAAAGCCTTTGGTTGCTAAATACTATCCACAATACTACCATAAAACTGATAAGGATGGCCGTCCTGTTTATTTCGAAGAATTGGGTGCCGTCAATTTACCAGAAATGTTAAAGATCACCTCTCAAGAAAGAATGTTGAAAAATTTAGTTTGGGAATACGAAGCTTTCGTTAAATATAGATTACCTGCTTCTTCAAGATACAGCAAGAACTTGGTCGAAACAAGTTGTACTATTTTGGATTTGAAGGGTATCTCCATCTCAAGTTTTTACAACGTTATCGGCTACGTCAAGGAAGCTTCAGTTATTGGTCAAAACTATTACCCAGAAAGAATGGGTAAATTTTACATTATAAACGCTCCTTTTGGTTTCTCCACAGGTTTCAGATTGTTCAAACCTTTCTTAGACCCAGTCACCGTCTCAAAGATTTCTGTCTTGGGTTCATCTTACAAGAAAGAGTTGTTGAAACAAATACCTGAAGAAAATTTACCAGTCAAATTCGGTGGTAAGTCTGTTGTCGATGACAAACAAGGTGGTTTATACTTGTCTGATGTCGGTCCATGGAGAAATCCAAAATACATTGGCCCAGAAGGTGAAGCCCCACATGCTTTTGCATTGAACTGAGAAAGAAATGGGGGTTTCATGCCTTGATTTATTTCAAAGCTAAGTTTCCTTTGATCCAATTATAATATTTTTTTTTCCTTTCTTTCCCCAAGCACAAAACACAAATGGAGAAACACGAACCAGGACAAAGGCGAGCCTCTTGCTTCCCTCAGGTTCCAAATCGTCAAACTAATCCATTCTCTTTTGAATGATTCTTTTTATTTCACTGTAATTTGATTTTTTTATTTTTACTCTTTTGTTCAAAATAAGCCATCAATTACATTTAAAGATTAAAAATGAATCGTTCACTCCATCAAAGGTTACTGACATATGTTCAATCGATCCATCTTAAAACACTTATGACAATAATATTAGGTAGCCTTAAAACATGTTTCTCTCGAAAGAGACTTTTATTTTATCTATTGTTTATCCTCTCTCTTTTTTTTTTTTTTTTTCTTGTCTTTATAATAAATAGTTCACTATAATATACGATTATCAAGTAAAAAAACAAACACCAGATTTACAAGTACCAATGCCATCGAGACAATCCTGCTGCAATCCATCCATGATCACCATCAACACTGACACTTGTCTCTTGTCTGTTTCATCTTGAAACCACATCGATCGAATCTCGTCGCCTACATTCTTTTCTCTGTAACACATCACGTGACACACTATAATTTTTCGAAACCGTCAAAAAAATTTCTAACCGCTCAGAAACAAATTTGAATTTAAAGGAAATGATTCTAAATGTATATAAACAATAGATATAACTTTGATGATTTGAAGGTGATAAGTGGTCCCAACATTGGATAAATGAAGTATTGGCAGTAACTGTGTGGCTTATATAATTGTGATATTTGGTTGGAGGTGTTTTTTTCAAGCCAAAAATTTCGAGATAAGACAAAAAATACGTTTTGAGGTTGTTGTTTAAGTAGTATTTGATAACGAAAAAAATATTTTTGGTAGAGACTGATAAGGGTATACTGGATAGATAGAGACAGAGATCTGGGGACTAACAACGGATAAGATTAAAATTGTGGTATTCGACTTGCTTTTTTTAGTTGAGAAAAGTTTGAAGTAGTAGGATTAATCACAATTGTTATACTTATACTATTATTAATACAAATATGTCAGAAAACTTGGATTCACAATCGACAGTTGTTGAAACTGTATCGGATATTTGTGATGAATATGGACTGATGATGGATGATTTTATTCAAAGTTTGAACGTTAACAAAGGTATTTTCCAAAGTAAAAATTCGTTATTTTGGTGCAATGATTTATCTTCCAATATTTGGCATTTTCATGATAGAGTTTCAATTAATAATAAAGGTTCATTATCGTATCATATTAATTCTAAATACGTAGATACTGAAGATGAAAAAGAAAGAGAAAATGAAGGGTATATATTGCAAAATTTACAAAATTGTAAAATTAAACTTATTAAAGATTCCTCTTCACCCACTACTACTCTATTGTTGAGTGTCAAAGTAGAGAATCAAACTGTTTATATCAAGGCAAACAATATTAACGAATTCCAAGATCTGCTTGCTTGTTTGTTCTGGTGGTCTTCATTTGCAGGTCGTGGGATCTTCAATAAGATATCATTGCAAAAAATTGATAAAAATATAATACAAGAATCACGAGACATTGGCATTTTAGAATATCAATTCGATATTTTCACTTATATTCCAACCAGTGACGAAAATATTATTTACAATGATGTCATTCCTTTCCCTAATTGTTGGAAAAACGTCTCAAATAAACAAGAATATTGGTTCTCTGCTAAAGGTGTTCTTTCTTCCAATGGTATTTTAAAAATTAAAAATATCGATAACGATAACATAATATATACATTGGATATAAAACAATTATTGAGATCGGAAATTCGTTACGTGGATCCTTCATTGCTGAAGCACTCCCCTGAAAGTAAACATTGTTTATTTGTTGGGTTACTACCAAAGTTAAGAAACGAATTAAGGTATACTGGGAATAATTTACATTTTTCTAATGATATTGAAAATTTAATAATTAAATTTGATTCTAAATGTAGTTTAGAAAATTGGTATTTGGCTTTAAAAATGTTTACCATTAATGAGGTGTTATCAATTAAAAATATTGATAAATCAAACCAATTAAGAATTTCAAATAGATTTATGCTTTCCATAATAGAAGCTGAAATCACAAGTAATAACAGAGACAATAATATAAATAATAGTGGGTTTTATGCCGAGGTAATATGCTGGGACCATATCTGGAATAGAACTTTCACTATTTACAACACATCTTCCCCATTTTGGCGGGAAGAATTCCATTTTGATGAATCCGTACCATTGAATAAGTTACCATTCGTTATAAGAAAGAGACCTATTGAAAACATGATTATTTACGGAAATTCTTTAGATGACTTCATAATTGGTAGAATTGATATCAACCAAGAAACGATGAATGATCCTAAATTAAATCAATCTTTAATTAGATTACCAATATTTTCCACTGAAAATTCCAACATAGAAGTCGGAACTTTGTGCGTAAAAATCTCATCTAGTATGAATTTAATTCTACCACCTGTCAATTTTAAGAAGTTTGAAAAAATATTAAGGGAACTGCCTTTGCCTAAAATTGCTGACATCGCATACAGTGACACTATCTGTTCTAACTTAAGATTAGAAGATGTTTCAGAAATTTTACTTGATTTTTTTCAATCATACAATAGAGAGGATGACTGGTTTGTCACTCTATTGAACAAGGAGTTATTGGATTTAAATAAGAAGTCGTCTGAATCTCTCGAAAATGGGTCAGGATCTAACCACATTTTAAATTCAATTTTTAGAAGCAATTCAATTCTAACAAAATCATTGGAAAGATACTTTTATAGAATTGGTGAAGAATATCTAAATGCTGCAATTGGGGATATATTAAGAGAAATTGTAATTAGTGATGATTATTGTGAAATCGATGCTAGTAAAATTAACATTAATGATAACATTAAACTCACAGAGATTTTAGAAGAAAACAGATTGAAACTGATAGGCTGGGTTACCAAAATATGGAATGCAATTTATACAACTAATAGTGATTTACCATTTTTAATCAAATCTCAACTTAAAAACCTAAGGAAGAAACTTGACTTAATTTATCCAGACAGAAATGAAGAAATGGACAGAATAATTTTAAAGAGTGTATCTAGCATTCTGTTTTTGAGATTTTTTTGTCCAGTTATTTTAAATCCTAAGTTATTCAATTTTATCGAAACTTTACCGAATGAAAATACAAGAAGAACATTTACACTGATAACAAAAACCTTATTAAATCTATCAACACTTACTAGATTTGAAACCAAAGAACCTTGGATGCGTCCAATGAACGAATTTATAGATGCACATCGAGAAGAAATGTTAGATTATGTCGATAAGGCAACTTTGAAACATCTCGACTTTACTCCAAAAGTTCTAAACTTAAAGGATCCAACTGCTAATAAATTAGATTTTAATATCAATAATGATTACCTTTTAAGCATCATCAACAGTTTGCCAACTAATCCATATCGTATTGATAGATATCTAAGAGTTAGTGAATTCATTATTATTTTGACAGCTTATATTAAGCAGAGAGATGAAGGCGTTCCAATGATAAAAAATATTAATATGAATGACGTTACAAAGATATTTTCTAAATATTCTATTGCAGAAGTAATAGAATCCAATAAACCTGATATTGGCGAATTGTCATTCGAAAAAATCACAGAG